AATATATATATATATATATATATATATATATATAATCTTGTGTAGAGTTCTCATTTCGGTACGCTTACGAATCGTGAATATCAGTTAAGCATTTTTATTATTACACAAGATATTTTATTTCATAAGATATAACAACGTTTAGTTTAAAGAAATGCGAAGAAATACGGAGCGACGCGCACCGCGACTTGTCTGTACGAACGCCGGTGAATGAATGGTAGCACGTCAATCACTTATAAACACGACTCGCCGTACGTACACAATGAAGCACGCTACGCGCTGCGTAAACATTTCTCAAGTCTGCCCCATCAATGACTACGACGAAATAGTTCACAATATTACAAATAATATCTAACTTATACGAAACTACATCTCAGTAACCGAACATTAAATAATGTGTCTATATATTTCATTAGAGAGTATTGTTTCGATATGCTTGTTAATCATTAATCTGACAATTCATTCACTCATTTAAATCAGCAGTGAAATGTTAATTAAAAATCGACGACAATTGCGTATATTATTAATATATTATTAATAATATCCAATTTAATATTAATGTTATTAATAACATATATTAATAGCACACGCAATAGTCGATTCACAAGCATATCGCGAACGATACTCTCTAATGAAATATCTAGATACATAATTTAATGTTCGATTATTAAAAACTATAGTATTTCGTAAGTTAGATATTATTTGTAATATTGTTGAATTATTAATAATGGTGCAATGCAATACCGTTGGCTTCTTCGTCTTTGGGGTACGAAACTCTTCGGAATACTCAGCCCCTTCGCCACGTCAAGGCCGTACCCATCGGGGGGGTTATCATTTACAAAAAGTCATAAATTTTAAAGAAATAAGTCGCGCGATATATCCGCATATACATAGATATTGTTTCGAAGATATTATTTGAATGATACGTTTCGATACGTTATGAATAGTTAATGAATCGTTGATAAGCATTTACTAATATATTCATACGGCAACGTTTGGTATTATTTAACAATAAAAGAAACGCGATACGCGCCGCTACCTGTTCGTACGAACGCCGGATAAAGAATGATAACACTTGGAACGCTCGTAAACACGGCACGCGATCGTAAACACGACGCGCGATCGTAAACACGGCGCGCGTTGCGCGCCGTACATACCATGCACATGTAAACAGTTTTGAAGGCTGCGATATCTACAACGTGTGTCAAACGAATAATATTACGAATTAACAATATTACGAATAATATCTAACTAATACAAGGCTCTACAACGTCTTTTAATAACTCAACATTAAATGCTGTAATCGTTACGTTTTAAATGCCTTCTGAATAATCTATTATCGTGTAGTTACTTGTTTGTTTAATAGACTAGTTATTTATTAAAATTAGATATATAGACATCTTACATATCTTGTGTGTTACAATAAATAATTGTTACAATAAACTAGTTATTGCTATATGTACATATTACAAAATATGTATGCAAATATAGTGTGCGAATATATCAATATTCTTCAATTATCCTCGGGCCCCCGGGATCCTATTAGTGGACACGAAAATTTGTCGGTCTTTAATAGTATCTCGTCGGTGATAGCTGGAAACAAAACCACAAAATCTTGGACATAGCACGAATGAGAATCACGCAATCGTGGACATTATCTACAGGATCATGGACATTAGTTACGTAGTTGAATGTCCACGTTTTTATGGACATAGAGGCGCTTCAAAATAAAGTTACAGCTGAATCGCGTGCATGTCCGCTCTCAAGCTTCTCTCTGTAAATACACTCGCGTTTTAGAGAAAGAGAGAGAGAAAATAATCAAAGTGCAGAAGGTGTAATCACGAAATCTTGGCATTTAACGACGCGCCACGTTGTGCGCGAAGCTTTAGTTTTCTCGAGCTCGTGCGCGCTTTTTGCATTTCATCTGATATACACGAGTACACGCTGACGCGACGTTAATTCAGAGTTATGCACTAAATTTTATTCGTGATTTCCGTACTATCACCGCTGACAGATGAGTGCTACCGAGAACCAGGCGATGGAGGAGTACGAGCCTTCCATCAGGAATGTGATCGAGCAACGTTCCTTACGATGGATATTCGTGGGCGGCAAAGGCGGAGTCGGGAAGACGACTTGCAGGTACACATAACCTGGAAATCATCCTGTCAGTGATAATCTCGTTGAATCAGCTTGAAATGAATATATAATCTCATCATCTCGGAGCAACGTATCAACTGGAGCCTTACCTTTTGTGTGCGATCGCATCCATTAATTTTCGCTATTTTACTTTATTCTCTGAAATCGTGTCATTGCACTCAATAAAATTATTATTATTATTATATGATATTTGTATAAAAAATATCTTATATAACTTTTTTATTTAAATATTATATCTATTATTATAAAATCTAAATTTCCATAAAAGTATAAAAATGCTCTAATGAATTAGATTTTCCTTTGAATATATCAAACTTGTTTATATTTAAAAATTTTTTTCTCGAAATAAAATAGTGAATTATAAATAAAAATAATTCTTATGTCATATATCCTCTATTATTCCATCTAAATAAAAAGATTAGATTAAAATTGATACAAATTTGTTTTACAGTTGTTCCCTTGCAGTACAATTGTCCAAAGTCAGGGAGAGTGTACTTATAATATCCACAGATCCTGCACATAATATCTCTGATGCATTTGATCAGAAATTTAGTAAGGTACCTACCAAAGTGAAAGGTTTTGACAATCTGTTTGCAATGGAAATCGATCCAAATGTTGGAATTACAGAATTACCAGAGGAATACTTTGACAGCGAAGCAGGTTTGTTTTTAAAATATTTTTATTTCTGTCCATCTGTGTAAATAGTTTTAGATAAATAAGTTATCCAAGAACTATTAAAATAATAAAAATATACAAAATATTTATTAATAACCATTGCAGTAATAATGTTATACATTTAAGGCTTCTGTTGGCTCATTGTAGCCATCTTGAATGTTAATATCAGAAGGAAAACATAAAAATTTTCACAAAATATATCAAAATAGAATGTATTTTGATCAAATAACATTTGTAATCGTTAGAACAAACTTTTAAAATATACCAAAAATTATCTTTTACTTCGATAATCAATAAATAATAGAATATAATTGAATCATGATTCTCTTCTTAATTAGGTAAAAGGAACAAAAAAATAATTCTTGATATATTTTACAAGTCTGTCCTATCAATTACAAACGTCGAAAATATTTTGTTTTATCGAAAAATATTTTTGTTTTAATGTATTTTGCAAGAATTTTCATCGTGTTTCTTGCTTCTGATATAATTCAAAATGGCTGCAATGAGTCAGCAGAAGCCTTAGAGCATAGAAATAATATTATATTATGTTATATTAGAGTTACCTCAAAAAAATCTTTTCTATTATCTTTTTATATATAATTATAGACATTAGACATATTTTATACATATTTTTAGTTTCAGGAGGAGAAGCAATGAGATTGAGCAAAAATGTTATGCAAGAAATTGTTGGTGCATTCCCTGGCATAGATGAAGCAATGAGCTATGCCGAAGTTATGAAGTAAATTCATAATTTTTATATCTTCTCATCTTTGTAAAACATTGATATGATAATTTCTTTTTGTGATAGATTAAAACTACATCTAAAGTCTTCTATCCTCTATTGCTCTTTTTTTATTTTATATATTTGTTTTAGGCTTGTAAAAGGAATGAACTTCTCTGTTGTGGTATTTGATACTGCACCCACTGGACATACATTAAGGCTACTATCATTTCCGCAAGTAGTTGAAAAGGGATTGGGAAAGCTAATGCGTTTAAAAATGAAGATTAGTCCCTTTATCACACAGGTTAGAATTAACTTTTATTTAAATTAAGATATGTATATATTAAAATTAATACATGTTAAGTATATCACATAAATATATCTTTTTAAGAATTATTCAAGTTGAAAAAAGATTTTTCTATTATAGATAAGTTCATTACTGGGATTAACGGATTTCAATGTGGATACATTTTCTAATAAAATGGAAGAAATGCTTGCTGTCATTCGGCAAGTCAACGAACAATTCAGAAATCCCGATCAGACAACTTTTATATGTGTTTGCATAGCAGAATTTTTGTCACTGTATGAGACAGAACGACTTGTACAAGAATTAACAAAATATGGTATTGATACGCATAATATTATAGTGAACCAACTATTATTCCTGAAGGAAGGAGATAGTCCTTGTCGGCTGTGTCTTGCAAGGCATAAAATTCAAGATAAATATTTAGATCAGGTAATTGGATTTAACTAAATATTATTGTAATTTGCAGTTTTCTTAAGATATCTATTATAATATTTTATTTTAAAACAAATTATATCATTATAAATATTCAAAATGCAAAAATGAAAAAAAACAAGATAATTTTGAAAAATAAATTTTTTTCTTTTAAGATATTGGATCTTTATGAGGAGTTTCATGTCACACAGCTTCCATTACTAGAAAGGGAAGTACGCGGAGTTCAACAGGTCAGGGAATTTTCGGAAAATCTCGTTAAACCGTACAAACCTTAGCATCTATGTAATTAATGTTTAATAACAATATAATACTTTACATTTAATTCAAAGTTTTATACACTTGCAACCTTGCGCGTTGGAAATTTGTATAAAAAAGATACACCTTTAATACTGCTCGATTAAGATATTTGTTAATGCACGTGTTAATAAATTCAACATAAATGCTACATTCGCATGCATTATATACTTGCAATATTTAATTTATACAAAAAAATCAGATAATAAATATAGAATTAATTATAATTTAAATATAGAATTAATTATAATTTATACATAAATGAAATGGAATGCATGAGAATCATTTATTGATATTTTTTGTGTTTGGATATTATATTTTATTAAATTACCGCAAGTT